GCCACGGCGTTGGCTCGATCGGCTTGCTCGTCTCGCCCGTTGCTTTGGTCGTCGTCGTATCCGTGCCCACTGTGGAGGCCTCGACTGCGGACGCCGTAGCTTCCATGCCACCTGTCGCGTCGGAGGTCGACATCGTGCGGGCGTCTATCGTCGGTGAACCTTCCACCGCCGTCTTGTCAGTATTTGGTTGACTAGGGGATGGGTTTGTGTCTGCCGTCACTGGTGGACCCGCTGGATGGTTGGTAGACGCCTCGGTTGTGAGTGCCGGCTCGGATAGGCCGGACTGGACCTGCATGCATGTGGTGTCGTCTTGCAGGCTCGATGCGTCACTGGGCGTCGTCGACGCATTCCCAGGCATCGACGAGGAGATCGCTGTCTCCATCGCGCCATCGTGTCGATCGTCCTCGGAGCCGTCGATAACCGAGATCGCTGCCTCTTCTTCGTGGACATGGAGCCCGGTGTACATGACACTGCGTCGATGGACCACGCTCTTGGTGCACGCGAGCCCGTACATGGTCTCCCGCTTGGCGCGAATGCGCGTGCGCTCGATGACGCCGCGGAGCATGGCGCGGACGATCATGGCGGCGACCTTCTCCTTGATGACGAAGATCTGCTTGACGCGGTCGCGCTGCTGCTCGTACGAGAGCGCGCGGATGCCCATGTGGTGGATGCACACGGTGCGGAGAAGCGCGTTGAAGAACGGCGCGCGTTGCGGCGTCGACGGCGCGAGCTGCACTTGCTCGATCTCAAACCGAAGGTGCAAGTACGCCATGCGGTTGCCAGCCGTGCTCACGCGCAAGTTGGGCGGCAAGTCCTAAAATACGTTGATAGTTTGATACGTTGAAGTGCTGGAACATCATACGTGCAAGAAGCGCGGGAGCATGTAGATGGGAATCGTGCCCTTGTGGTACGGGTCGTACTTTTCAAAGACCTCTTGGTACCCCTCGAAATCTTCGAGCGTCACGGGACTAATGTCCTTGACGTAGCAGCTCCGAAAGTTCTCGAGGATGACCGCAATGAAGAGGTTGAGGAAGATGTACACGATCGCAATGACAAATACGAGGTAGTACATCCACGCCGCGTAGTAATCGCCGCAGTCCGTATCGCTTCCAATCGTCGCGCAGTCGGTGCCTTCGACCTAGAGAATGAAAAATGACATTTTTGAAAGATTGACACATTGAAAAAACGAAAAATTAAGAAAAACACCCAACGTACCATGCAGTCGGTCATGAGGAGGTGCCACTCGCCACCTGCAATGAGCTCAAAGAGCGTCAAGAGCGCGTTCCCAAAGGTCTGGAAATTTTGCGTCTCGTTGAGGTTCGGGCCATACTTGACCGTGCCAAAGAGCTAGAAAAAGAATGCATCCATGAGTTCGCCATCAATGGTTGACGATCCATGAGTACCTGGCGCCCGAGGATCGCAAAGATGTACAAAAGCAGGACGAGCAGCAAGACGACGTTGCCGATCGACGAGAGACTGGCGCGGAAGGTCCGGAAGATGGTCCGCACGCCCTTGCTGACTTTGACAAACTTCATGACGCGCATGACGCGAAAGATGCGGCCAACCTAGAGCACGCGGTAGATAAGCCAATGGTGTCATTTTGGTCGGTATAAACTTGAGAAATCTGGTGAATCGAAATCCCGGGCAAGTACGAGACGTAGGATCCGATCAGGAGCACCAAGTCAAACACGTGCCACGTGTCGCGAAAGATGTGGCGGCCGAACGCGACGAGCTTGGTTGCAAATTCGCACGAGTACAAGATCACAAAGAGCTTGTCAATCATCTAGACGCCAAGTGGCGTGAGCTACGCGGCAGGAATGAATGATAATGTACCTCGAACGCAAACTTCCACTGCTGTGCTGCTTTTGTGGGGGTGAGCAACATGAAGAGCATGTTCATGACGATGATCGACGACATGAAATGCTCGAACCGATGGGCTAGACATGCGATATCGACTCGATGTCAACATGGATGCAAATGGTACATTTCGCCACGCGGTAGAATCGACTTCGCATCGCGTTTTTGGGCTCGGGCACGCTGTAACGTGGTTTGAGCAAGAGCATGTGGCGCTCCAGCTCGACCCAACTAGACAGTGTATCCGTCGAGCAAGCAAGACGACAGTAACGACAGTAGGGTCTACCATTTTTGACTCGGTGTAAGAATCTGCGTCCCGTTGTTGCGTTGAAATTGCTCCACCTACGATCGTTCATATGGAGTTGATGGAAGACAAGGAAGTGGCGTACGAGGACACCGACGAAGAGTCGAATGAGGAAGAAGCCGCCGATAAATACAAACGAGATAAAGTAGCCAATGTAGATCATGCTGTAGTTGAGAATCGGCTGCTCGTTGACACCGACAATGTCCATGGCGAATTCGGCCGTGTCCACCCACTACAAGACAATATTGTCTTCAAAACGCACAAGTCATTTGGAGTACCTTGACCGACGAGAGCTCCATGAGCGCAATCATCGAGCTCGCCAGCGTGTCAAAGCGAGCGCGGTACGGCACCCAAACCCGGGGCATAAGCACGGGCGCGTCGGACGCGGGTAGCGGTTGCGCGGCGTAGAACCCTGTGCACTGGGTGCGGTTGGCCACTGAGGTGTCGTTGCACGAGTACATCTACCATCGTCCATGAGTACCAATTTACTCCATTTCAAACAATCTCAAACTGCAATCTCAAAAACTGCAATCTCAGAAAATGCATCTCCAACGACAAACGCATTTGGTACCTTTTGAGAAAAGAGCGTTCGGCCAGCGATGCCAAAGATGATAAAGACACCGAGGCAGAGCACGAGGACGTCGAGGACCGCGGGGAGCGCGGCGGCGAACGAGGTCATGATGAGCTTCATGTCGCCGTCTTGGTTGAAGAGTCGAAGCGGCCGCAAGACCCGTCGACGCGAAGGACCTTG